TTCCTCTGTATGGCTTATTTCACTTAGCATCACACTCTCCAGTTCCATCCACGTTGCTACAAAGGGCCATATTTCGTTCTTTCTCATTGCCACGTAGTACTCCATTGTGTATATAAACCACAATTTCTTTATCCATTCGTCAGTTGATGGACATTTAGGCTCTTTCCATAATTTGGCTATTGTTGAGAGTGCTGCTATAAACATTGGGGTACAAGTGCCCCTATGCATCAGTACTCCTGTATCCCTTGGGTAAATTCCTAGCAGTGCTATTGCTGGGTCATAGGGTAGGTCTATTTTCAATTTTCTGAGGAACCTCCACACTGTTTTCCAGAGTGGCTGCACCAATTTGCATTCCCACCAACAGTGCAAGAGGGTTCCCGTTTCTCCACATCCTCTCCAGCACCTATAGTCTCCTGATTTGTTCATTTTGGCCACTCTGACTGGCGTGAGGTGGTATCTGAGTGTGGTTTTGATTTGTATTTCCCTGAAGAAATGGGCAGAAAACATGAATAGACACTTCTCTAAAGAAGACATCCGGATGGCCAACAGGCACATGAAGAGAAATGCATATTTTAATCTTGTGTAAGAGGAACAGAGGCTCTTCATTTCATCCTCTAGCACTGAGAAAGAAAAAAAAAAGCAGCTCCTGACCTCAGGACCCTGTCTGATACAGCTAGGCGCTGTTTTTCCCCATTGTACATAAACCATTCCATGGAACATCCACGTCAAACAAGATCACTCTGAGACCATGATAAGGCAACAAGAGCAAGATCTCTGGGCAACCACAAAATACCAAATATCCGTCTCTCTTACCTAAAATGAGGACCTGCTACTTTTTCAGAGACCAGTTCTGGCTCTATGGCCACTTTAGGCATCCCTTTACCAATAGATGAGATTTCCTGAGACAATCATAGAATTGCCCCTGCGTCTCGACAGCATCCAATCCAGAACGAAGCCTTGCTTCCTTAGACCCTCCCCAAAATGATTCGCCCAAAGCCAAATTCTCTAGTCGTTTCTTTTAAACACCTTTTACTGAGATGCCCAGTTCCCTGCAGTGTGTGCTTTTCCCTAGCCGCAATGAGTTAACCCAGCTTGTTCCGCTAGAGGGGTGCTCCTGGTGGTCTTTGGCTGGAGGGCGTCAATACCATCATCTGTTAGACCTGAGGATATTTACCCCTCCCCATCCCATCCATCCCATTAAATTCTCTTCTTCATCCAGTACCAGAGACTCTGTAGGTGTTATCCAAAGGTCACTCTGACACTTCTGATGTGAGTCACTGTTTGCCTTTTTATAGTTTAATCTCCATTTCCTACGAGGATTCGAGATTTGTCTGCTCTAGATTTTGACTGTTACCAACGGACCAGCTCACAGTGCCAAATGTCTTGTGAATAAGTATCAGAAACCTTGATTACGACTTACTATTGCTTCCTTTGTGTGGCCCCCAAGCTGCTCTGACAGTAAGAACCACAGGGGAAACTGTTAAAAAATAAAACAAAAAATTGGAGTTGGCATCTCCCACTCGTTACCTTGATGGAGGCTACAAGGAGAGCTCATGACCTCTTCCAGGTACTTGGCTCTTACTTAAAGCAAACACTTCACAGATAACAGGACTTGGCATAGGTATAGCCAGTTATATATACTTGGGCCCAGAATTACAGGTTGTGTTGGGGAATGGGGGGGATGTCTCGGTCTGTGGGGCCTCTCCTGGACTCCTTGATTTGGTTGTCTTTATGTTTTACATTTGATCATTTTGCCCTCCTGGCTCCCACCCTCAACATTCTCCCACCCACCCACCTGTACTATCTCTGAACTCAAATTATACTAAATAATTTTGGCAGTCTGTGACAGTGAATTTTATGCCAAATTTAAGGCAGTTCATGCAAAGAAATTTTTAGTACCCACATGTACATATTTCTTAATTATGTATATTTGAGTTCCTTTATAGTTCAGATGAACAGAAGTAACATTTTAATGACCTTCATGTACACATACTTGTGTTAACATAGTCCTTGGCTCCTGATAACTGTCATCACTGATCAATGCTTGTTTTGTTTCTAATTTACTCATTTATTCTATTTTTTCCTAATATAATGAACACCTATAAAACTAAGCACCCAGCATGAGAACATTGCCAATAACAATGTACACAACCTTTCCTCTCAAAGAAATGCTTCTTTATAGCATTCAAATGTGTATGAATCCAAATGAATCAGTAGCATTTCTATAGCTCTCTTGAATTAGATGTGGAGTGTGTGTGTGTGTGTGTGTGTGTGTGTGTGTGTAGTTAGAAGATGCTTGAAAAGTAGAGGATCACACACACCTTCTCTACCACACTTCTGACTCTAATGATGAGGGTCAAAGAAAGAAATCCTTTTCAAAATGGAAGCTAAGTAGGGGTCCAAAAGCATTGAAGGAATAAAGAACCTAGAAGTGATGTCATCTTGAAAGAAGGCATAGAATGTGTTACTTTTGCCAGCAAAACCAGTCAACATCTAATGCCATATCTACTTACCTAGTGGCTTGCTAGCATATACCTTAGGTGAGGTTGCGACTCACCAATGTGAGGACATTGGTTTAGGGACTAAATATAGCAGCCTAATGTGTAAGGCCAATATATATGGCTGTAAGGCCAATGTTCCTTAGAGAGCTCCACCTGGCCTTGGGAGTTGGACAACAGAAGAAAGTAAACTAGTGGGGAAGGAAGAGCCACCAAGAGATGAGGAATAGCAAAACACAAGAAATTTGGGAGCCTGAAGATTTCTCCTACATAGTTAACTGCTTCTCCAAAATACGGGGGTGGGAGGCAGAGGGAGAATTGGAGAAAACAGATTATGATGTTCAAGCAAAGTGGCAAAGAACATAACAAGGAGACTGACAGATGGATAGAAATCTTTGACATGACCTGGTCTCATCTAAGACTAAAACTTACCCAAATCGTCAAATGAATAGGAATGCAGGAAGACTTACAGCCCCATTATGATCTTGAAATGTTCCCTGGAATAGAATAGGGACAAATATCATGCCTTCTTGGGAAAGAACACTGGTTGGCAATCTTCACGCAACACCTGTTGAGTGTTCCTTCACTCAATGAATATTAAAAATCTGCTAGAGAGTAAGCTTAATCTCAGTTACATGGTGAGATCAGGGACAAGCTTTGTTTTTTGTGGAACACCTGCAGAAACAAGGGAAGGTGAAGTGTGAATAATTGGAAGAGATTTAGTGTGGCCGGACCTAGAGAGTAATGGGAAGAACAGTGAACCTGGACACACTGGGTGGATCCAAATATCTGAGGGCCTCATAAGCCATTGTAAGGGTTTGGTTTGGAGCATATCTTAGTCAATATGAAGTCACTGGAGAATTTTTATTTGAGTTTATTAAAAATTTTTCAAAGTAATACATGCACAAGGTAAAAAATTAAATAGTACAGAAGGACTTAAAATGAAAAACACGGTTTCCCACCCCACCCTCTTTAACCCTAGCCCCGTTCCCTAGAGGCAATGCATTTAACATTTTCTATTTTTAGATCTTCTGTTAACTAACTTGCTAACATTAAATAATGTCTCAACAATAATTCTTGACTTATTAACTTTAGACAATCTTTAATAATTCCCCATTACAAAAGATAAGGATTTAACTTACACTATCCCCACCTTTCCTTTGCCTGTCCTTTCCCAAGCTTTTGATAGATAATGCCATTTTTAAGACTTCTGTTGATTTCATTTATAACTTTGGACAGTATACTGCCCTCTAGTACTTGTTCCATTAACTGCAGACTTCATCTTCTCATTCTCACTGTGAATGCAGAAGTGGCCCATCTCTCCCTTCCACCCCTCCTCCCCCAACCAATTCTCAACCTCTTTCTGTTCTCTTGTTTCTTAGCTTGTCAGGATTCGTTATATTCCATTTCAGTTCTGAATAAAAAATTAAGCTTCTCATGTTTTGTCTCTAGGCTGATCAGAACACTGAATACCAACAGACAGCATCTACATTATTTTGTCTACGTAAATAGTGTTTACTGAGAGCCGAGTAGATGCGAGGGCATTTTTTTGCCATTCAAAACCCAGTGTTCATGATTCCTATGCCACTTGTAAGGAAAGGTACCTACCGCCAATGTCAAATTGCATCTCTTCGTACATTCCACGAGTTTTTGTTTCACAGTTGGACCTGAATGTCTCGACATACTTCCGTTTTCTTTTTGCCGACTGAAGCATGTATGTCTTCCATATTTTCAAACTTTCCAGCTTCTCAATGATACGATCTATGGAACAGAATGTATATTCTTCCCAAAGAGCCTGAGACTGTGTGCTCTCATCTGAAATGGGTCTGCTAGAGTGAGGCATCCTGCTGGGACAGCTGTCACTCTAGAGTGACACATCTTGCTGGACTGTCACTCTACAGTGAGACCTCCTGCTGGACAACTGTCACTCTAGAGTGACACATCCTAGGTGAGGTCCATTGTTTCCTGGATTCCATTTCTTCTTCTTTCCTGGTCTTCTTCCTCATTTTCTTGGAGAACTTCCTCAAGGTACTTTCTTAGTAAGGGTGCAAAGTAGGTAGACTTTCTGAAAACTTGCCTGTCAGAAAATGTCTTTATTTTGATGTCACTCTTGACAGTTTGGCTTGCTAGGTTATCCGGGATCCAAATATTTTCCATAAGGGAAGAAACTGCTCCATTGGCTTCCAGCACTCATTGTTGCTGATGAAAAATCTGCTGCCAGTCTATTTCTCATCCCTTTTTAGTTGAGCTAATTATGATGACTATTTTCTCTTTGGGCACTTGTAATATCTTCCCTCTTTCCTTAATATTCCAAAATTTCACAAGATCGTGTCCAGATATAGGTGATATCAGGGTCCCTCCATATGGAGACTTAGTTCTTTCTGTTCTTCAATTTTTAAAAAATTTCTTCACCTAGATTTTGTATGTTCTCTTTTCCAAAAAGTCCTAATGCTTAGATATTGATTGACTAGATGGCTTTCCTTCATTTTTTTCTACTGTTTCTTTTTGTTGTGTATCTAGGGAGTTGCCCTCAACTTTATTTTCCAGCCTGTCTACTGAATATTTTGGGTAGTTTTATTTCACTTTCAAAGGGCTCTTTTTATTGTTTTTCTTTCCTTTGTAGCCTTCTGTTTTCATGTTCACTTTGTTCACCATGTTCACTTTGTTTCCTCTAGAGTTGGTTGTATTTTTCAAGTCTCCCAATTCTAACTGGTTATTTTTCTTACATGCTTCTCCCCTGGTCCTCCCCCTCCACCTCCTAATGCCCAAACTACTGGGCTGACCATTTGCATTTAAGAATCAATATAACTGTTAACTTCTATAGGAATTGGCGTGGGTATCCTCTGCCATTGTATGGCTGGGTCTGTTTCTCTAGTTAAGCCTCTTCTGGAACTAGAAGCACTTGGGCATTTGCAGAGGGATTTTGACAGAGAATTAGCTGATAGGCTGGGGGGGGGGGGGGTTGTCACTTATTTCCAAAAAAGAGAAATCTTATTCTGGGGCACCAACTTCTACCTCTCCTCAGGCAGCTTAATCAACTTCTGTACAAACAACAACAACAACAAGAACAACAGATTTTTAATGGGTACCAATCGCAATACTGCCTGTGTTCTGCACAATGGTTGGGGTAGGATAGGACGGGGTTCAGATTTACAACGGGTATAAGGTATAACTCTATAGACTCTTCAGGTGCTCATGTTTCTTTGGGATTAGGTTGTTCAGATCAGCTTCTATTCTGTCTGAAAGACACCTTCACTCTTTCATTCATTATCATGCTTCATCCACCTTCTCTCTTCCAGAAATGTGTTGAGATCTTCTTCAGTTATTATCAAATCTGTTCCGTTTTCTTTGCTGAGATGTGTCAATTCTCTTTTGCATTTCTCGACTTCAATTTCAGTGGGGCCTGGGGAGGGAGGGGAAGTAAACTTATATGCTTAGTTCATCATCTTAAATTCAAAGTCCCACTGGAAGCTTTTAGACACAAGAGTGACATGAATAGCTTTATATATTTAAGAGGTCCCCGGGGCTGCAATGCTAAAAATGAACTAAAGAGGGCCAGAATGCATAGAAATATTATTCTAGAGGACTAAGAATCTGATTTCCTCACTGAGAACATGCAATGTCTGAGACTTCTGGGAGTCAGGCACTTTACCAAAATAACCCATCATTCAAAACCCAGTAAGCTACTAGAATGCGTTCATGGTGCCCTAGAGATAATGCGTGAAACCTGAATAAACTGAACCTGAAAGACCCACACCGTCTTTGGGAAACACTTTAGGAGCCTACCGTAGATTCTTCCTTTGAACTGGCATTCGGGGTAAACAAAGGGACTTTCTGTTCTGATAAAATTGGATGGGGGGTGAGCACAGGCAGCCAAAAAGCTGGCAAGAAGGACATAAAGGTCCTTCTGTTTGCTGGCTGGTTTCATTTACTCACTGATTTGCTTATTCAAAGCACTTTCGTTACTAACACCCATTCAGTAATCAGAGGGCCCTGGTTCGAACCCCAGGTCTACCACCTGTTAGCAATGTAGCCTCAGGCACTTTACTTGATCTCCATAAAATTCAGCTCACTTATTCCTGAAATGGGAGTGATACGTTTCCACTTCATCAGATTATTGTGACGATTAAATCAATCTATATTAAAAACAAAAAACAAGTATGTTATTTGGCACACGCTCAAAAAGCCTCTAATTGGCAGGATTTTTTCAAATGTTGAATGAACGTCCAACATCTACGTGTAAAGCATCTAGAGGAAGACATTCACGAAACAGGGGAAAATGATTCTAGGACTGAGAAATGACATAATAAAGGAATCCACGGAAGAATACTCTGTGGGTCCAATCTTATTGCCTATGCCTCCACCCAGTTCCTAACAAAGTGAATAAGTTAGTGTATTGAAACAGCTAAATGAATAGAAGTGATCTACAGGAAACTGGCTGGGTGTACGAATTAATCCCAGAGCCTCAACTCTACTTCCAATTACACAGAAAATGGGAGGTTGTGAATAAGATCAGAAGAAAACTTAAGAAAGTCTTCGCATTGTGATTACTTGCAATTTGGGTCAGTCATATGCAGCCAGCTGGTTCCGAAGTACAGGTTTCTCTGTGTGTGTGGACTTTATCTGCCAAACTGGTAAGGAACTGTGGCAGCGACAGGAATCTGTGCCACTCTGGAAATACAGACACCATCACTAAGCCGGGTGCCCATTGTTTGCTAGACAAACGCCCTCATGGCTCCGTTCTAGTTTTTCAAGGGACTTCCACTCTTGATCTAATCAAGGAAGGGCTTTTACCTGAAAGGCAGAACTGAATGAAGAGACCAAACCCCAAGGAGCCGTTAAAACCCCACTGTGGACTTAGAGCCTGTGGATCCTGTAGATGCTAAAGCAAGATTCCACAATGCTTTCAGAGGCTGGTGCATAAAGTGTAGGATGGGATGGGACAGATCACACTGCCATCTGTAAATGCCATCTAAAAGGGCGGTCTAGCTCCACAATGATACCGAATTCATTAGACAGTAACAACGGAAGCCGACACTTTCTCAGTGCCTGCCAACTGCCTGGTACTGTCCCAATTCCTTTTAGAGGTGCTAAAACTTAATCCTCACAATAATTCTATGAAATAGATCCCATTTGATGAGCAGTTTGCCCAGAGTCACGTGACTAACAGGTGGAAGAACCAGGCTTTGGATGCAAGGAGTCTGCTGTGAGAGATGATGGTCTTAACCTCCAGGCTGTGGCGAGAAAAGAGGACGTACTAAGCTCACTACTCCGTGGGCCAGCAGAACGCGGAGCAGGCTCTGAGACGTGCAAGTACTGTATTCGCAGGCCTCTTCAGAGCTATTGGTCTGAGTCTTCACGACCACCCTGTGAGGCAGGGATTTTTGTCCTCACCTCATACTCGTAGAGCTACAGTGACTCTCCCAAGAGCTAACCCCAGCTATGGGCTCTTTCTGGTACACTAGATTGCGTCTCACGCTCTTGGAAAATGACCTAAGACACAGAATATCAAGGAACTGTCTGTTTATCCTGGTAAATTTGTGCTGCAGTAGATTCTAGGGTCAGGTTTTTGGAGCCGCTGGTCAAAACATACAAGACCAGAGAGTCCTCAGGATGTTAGAATGAGGACCACCCCCTAAGGGCCATGGCCCCCAATGGTGAGCCAAGGGCTGGCATGAAGGCAGGTGTCAAAGCTCTCAGAACCAGGCCAGTATAGGGCCAGGAGGGAATCTGACAGCTGAAAGCAGAGGAACGAGACTCACAAACAGAAGGCCTTGCTCCTGAGAAATTAGGATTCCCCTTTTTGCTGTGTTCTTAACCCACTTTCTAGGGATGGAGCCAGGCAGTCAGGTACAGGGGCAGGGAGCTGAGAGGGCAAGGCTAGGACCCTAAGAGACAGAGGTCGAGGACTGAATCCCCATCTCTGCCTACCTCCCCAAACCTCTCTACCTGCCACCTCGCTGGGCACTCCTTACATCTGTGTGAGGAGGTATAATTTCATAATATTTTCCTTCCATTCAGGCAGATAGGCCAGGCTGGTAGCCACTTCCTTCTGGATAGGCCAGGCCCAGGCCTCAAAGAACGGAGCCAGATTCTTCTGCACTTGGTGGGAGAACATCTTCACCCACAGATTCATTTTGTCAACATTGTCTGTGGGCAAGTTGGTCTGGTTCCTGTACTCAGTGAAGAGACGGATGAACGGCTCCCACCCAAAGGCCTCCTGTAGCTGGGAAGAGAAAGCAGCAGCAAGATGAGACATTTAATCCACAGAAAGAAGGCCCAGCAGACACTATAGTAAATTAATGTATTTAACCTCTGAAACACAAGTTTCATCTCTGTCACTGACCCTGTCTCCCGTTGTGGCTGCTGGCCTCATGGGCCATCCTTGATCTTATCTTCGGAAGGGCCTCTGAGCTAGCACGGTGCTCAGCACCGAGCAGACACTCAATAAATGATGGCTGCGGTAATAACTGTAAAGGTTATTATCAGTATTTACCACCAGTATCGTTATTCATGTAGCTCACTAGATCGTGAAAGTGACCACAGGATATCACACAGGGATGCAAAACAGGCTGACGCGAAAAAAATCCTTGTATCTTCAACAGTTGCAAAGTTAAACCCCAGTAGTTGGGGAACCTCCACCCTTACCCTGACATTAGCCTGCATCGGCCACAGGCCTATGTCAATCTGCAAGGCTAGGAACATGGCCTTTAGGGAAAAGAAGGTGAGTCCTATAGACACAGAAGATTATGTGCAGTCTAGGTGGCTAGAATTAAGTTACATAAGACATAGTTTTAGGAAAAGGCAGCTGTCCTGAGACCATTGGCAACAGCCCACGTGAGGCTGGGTTATGGTGCTTTACAGTTGGGACGGACATTAGCCATTCTCTGGAACAGCGTCAGCTGGGTTTCACACGTGAGCACCTTTTGTCCCTGGGGTGAAAGCGGCCCAACGACAAGGTTAAGGTCTGCAGGCACTTTCACTGTTGTTCTCAGGGCAGCGGATTCGAACTGAGCAAGAACCAGAATAGAGTGTGCCTGGCTGGAGACTGAGTTCCAGAATCCCAGGTGGTGAGATGCTGCCCCAGCGACCGCAGGGAGGGAACTGGCGTGTTGAACAGTAGTTCAAAGGCAGGGGCAACCTCGTGTCCAGGCCAGTGAGGAATCTGGGACTGCCTAAGAGGGAGAAACTGAGGCAGGGAGAAGATCTGCCTCCTGTAAGGAAACAACAGGTCCCATCCCATATCTTGTGTGTGGGGAGCAGGGCAGGGGGGTGTTTGGTTTTAGAGGGCTATTTTGTGGCACGGTGTGGCTTCAGTCTCAGGTATGTCTGGGTTTAAAGCCAGAGATGATAACTGTATTTAAGTACTCTTTTCGCCTCTACCAAGTTTAAGCTTTCGTGGTGCTTTCTATCCACTCTACTGAACCTCCTCAGAATCATGGTGTGAGGGTGGGGCTGAGGCAGTCATGTCCACTGGGAGGCTTCATCAAATAGCACTGTCACACTTGGGCTCCATCAGGTCTCCTGGGTCACTAGAACGTCACCTAACAAGGTTGCGCTGCCGGTCCCCTGAGTGGGAGGTTCCCATCCCCCTCCACTGCTGCCCAGTACCTGGAGATATGTTTCCAGGGCGGTCCACGCATTCCAGTTTTTCACATTGGGACCCTTGCCCAGGTAGATTCGGACCCTCTTCTCCCGAACCGGAGGCCACAGAGCAATATTGGCACGGCCTCGAGGGATGCCCAGGACCGTCTCATGCACATAAACACACCACAGGTTGCAGGTGGCCTCCGTGGTGTGCGGGGGGAACTCCCACTCCTGCCGTTGCTGGTTACGGCCGAGCTCGTGGACGGGGCCCCACAGCCCCTTGGTTCTGATGAGCTTCTCATTGATGAGCTCCTGCACAGACTCCAGATGGCACATGATGGGGTACCCTGCGTGCATCCAGCCTGGGCCACAGGAGGGAGGAAGAGGGGTTAGGATGCTCCCCACGCATCTGTACCAGGACTCCCAGAAACCGTAATGCTCAGAAGGACGATCCACACAAGACCCACCTGGGCCTCCCCCCTCCTCTCATGGTGGATGGGTGCCCCCACCCCACTCCCACCCGAGAGGGTGTGGCTGCAGGACTGATGCACGTTACAGACAGCCCTTCGTGTTCCTCTTCAATTTCTATTTTTGTGAGAGTGTCCTGTCCATGTGAACCTGTCTCATTATACCCTTCTCTCAAAACTGAAAAACTCCTGACAGTGGTTTCCCCTTCTCAATATTTACATGTGGAGTTGCCCACATTGACACTACTTTATAGGGATCATCTCCGGAGGGGCAAGAAAACTGGGGTCCAGAGAAATTTCCATCGTTCTTTAATGTCCACACCCCCCCTGGTTTTCTAGGCTTCTTGACCCCCTGGCACAGATCTCTTCATTCAGTGTCTTCTCAAAGTTGTTCAGTTCCTTCTCCCAACAACTGTGACCTACGTCCAGACCCTCTGCCACTTTTAGTTTCTCCTTGACATTCCCTGCTGGGGCTGCTGTGAAAGCCTGGCACTATTCTCTGAATGGTTCCTGCTGTTGAAGACCTCTCTTGACATGCTGACTTCGACTGTTACATACTTTTATGTTTTACTTTATTTTTATTTTTGAGAGAGGAAGAGAGAGAGTGGGAGTGGGGCAGAGAGAGAGAGAGAGAGAGAGAGAGAGAGAGAATCCCAAGTGGGCTCCGGGCTGAGAGTGAAAAGCCTCATGGGGGCTCGAACTCACGAACTGTGAGATCGTGACCTGAGCTGAAGTCTGACGCTTAACCAACGGAGCCACCCAAGCGCCTGTCAACTGTTACATATTTTAATGTGCTGCTCATATAGTTCTGTAGCCTGCTTTTCTTGTGTCACATAATCCCATCATATTTCTTTCTGCCATCAAAATATCACTTTAAATATCTTCCTCAATGACTATTGAAGGTACACACCATATATCACTTAACCATTCCATACTTTTGGACATTTAGGTAGTTTCCCGTTTTTTGTTGGGGGATATGGCTGTGTCTATTTTTCTTAGATCCATTTCCCCCCTTTTCATCTAGATGGCAAGACTTACATCTTATATGTCTTGCTAGAAAAACATTTTTAACCTGCTGGCCGCCCACTGGATGGCTGTTGGAAAAAAAAAAAAAAAAAAAGGAGAGGCCCCGAGGGGAGCGCGCACAGAGGGCTGGTTCGCCCAGGGCACCCACCAACTGAGATCTGTACGTCGGCGACGATCCTCTGGGGCAGACGCAAAGGGAAGGGCTCGGCCCCCAGCCGCGCCACAGCCTGCATCACCTCATCCCAGAGGCGAAGCAATGGCTCAGGGTTCTCCAGGGTACGGAGATTGGCAGTTGGCACAGTCAGGATGATGTTGTCCGTAGCCAGCTCTCCCCAGGGACCTGGATTCTCCTGGATACGCCTCTTCCACTCCTCCTGCGAGGTCTCCCCTAGGAAGAGAGGCCATGGGGCTTGAAACTCACTTTCCCAAATCCCTTAACGTGAAAAGATACAACCTGAGCCCAGGCGGAGAACAGCACGGTCATGAACAACCACATCCCCTCTCTCTCCTTCTGTGAGGTCCCTCCCCATGAATGTGGTTTGGTCCTTCTCTCCTTCCCTCTACCAACCCACGTGTCTCTCTTCCTACACCGAACAGCCCCAGACGACCCATTCCTGCAGGCGTGCACCCCACGGCTTCCACTCACCTAGCTTGTAGTACGGGGCATGCACAGCCCCCTTCACAGTGATGGGCACGGAGCCCAGTTTGCTGCTCTGAGGCACGATGATGTAGAGGAGGCCGCCCCAGAGGCAGGTGATGGACTTTGTGGGCTTGTCCAAGCAGCACCGGTTGATCACGAGCGGGCCTCGGAACAGCTTGCTGGCTCTGGTCAGGTCATCCGTGTGGCAGCCAATCTGTATCTGGAGCAGAAGATCCCCCCCCCCCCCCGCCCAGAGTCACTTCGGGGAGTGTGCAGGTGGAAAGGGAAGGCTCCCAGGAGGTGGGGACAGTCAGGATCACTGGGCCATGACCCCACGTGAGCCCAGTTTTTCCACCGTTTGTGAACCATGTGTGCCAAACTCATGCAATTCCATCATTCCTCAGGGCCGCGTGGACTGAACCACGTGTAATGTCCTCCCAGGGACGCTGAAGTGAGGGGCACCGGGTGGAACCCACACGCTAATGCTGAGGAGGGCCGACTCCCGGGCCCCTGGGTGTCTCTGAAACCCACAGGATACTGGGTTGCCTATTTCACTGAGGCCATTCTGGCATTGGTAATAGGGCAGAGGGGATCTTGCGGACTCCTGCGTTTTGTTGACTAGAGAGGAGGCCTGGTGAAGGGCAGCGTGACCGGCTGATGGCCTGGAGGATGGACTCAGTTCCTCCTGTTCTCCAGGGCCCCCCTCCTGGGCCAGTGGAGCAGTCCCTGCACTTCGCAGAGTCCTGGGATGGTTCTCCCAGGCTGATGCTAGAGAGTTCCAGGAGAGGTACAGGCACAGAACAGACCCTACCTGTCACAACTCTCAAGGGGGCTGAGCAGGATGGCTACTTAATTTGTGATATGTGTGTGTGACAGTGGCAGAGCTGAAGGTGGAACAGGGAAGCAGGAACAGTCTTCGGTGTCACAGGGAAGAGGCAGAAAGACCTTGGGCTCCAGTGGGAGGTTAGATGGGCATGGAAAGGGAACTGAGGTTGACTGAGCATTGCTGCATGCCGGGGTCCCTCCCTCCATGTGGTGCCTTATTTTATTTTACTTTAACGGAAGCATTTTATTTTTTAAATTATTATTATTTTTAAGTAGGCTCTGTGCCCAACGTGGGGCTTGAGCTCACGACTCTGAGATTGAGAGTCGCTTGCGTACCGAGTGAGCCAGCCAGGCACTCCTGTTTGCTGCCCTTCTTATTCCCCACTGCAGGACCTGAGTGAAAGGCACAGAACTTGAGAGCCAGCAGTTGGTGAGCTTTGAGTCCTGGGCTCCGCAATGCATCAGATCTACTGATCGACCCAAGTATAGTTGACACACAGCGTCACATTAGTTCCAGGTGTACTAGATTGATATTTTCAATCCACCTGCCCCCTCAGTTGTCTTACCCTTAGAATGGGGTAAGTCCTTGCCTCACATGGCCAGTAGGGTTTTTAACTGGCAACCCGGAGAGCAAGGACCTCCGGCTTCTGCGTCACACGGGAGATGGGGCCTGGCCTTACCTTCAGATCAGCAGAGGCAGCAGCTTCAGGCAGCGAGACCTCTATGATCTGCCTTCCAGGAATGTAGAGCCCGGTGCTCATCCAGCAATATCTGGTGCCTGCCGACGCACAGAAGGGCAGACTTTATCCCTCCTCCGTGACGCCATCCCCGTCCAGCACATCCATAGCCCCTTGGGGAGCTCCGCCCGCCTCCCTCCCTTCATGCCGCCCTGATTCAGGTGCGTAAATGTCACCTAAATCCCCAACCGCCATCTCCTGGAAAGTGCACGGCCAAGGGTGGCGATGGCCTTCTGAGGCCATCAGGCCCCGTCCCCATGGCCCCCATGCTGAGTTCTCCTTCTCCCTGCCCCCATTCCTTACCTGGATTGTTGCAGTTGACGTCAACGGTGATAGGGGATTCCGAGGGGCGCAGATAGGGGCTGCTGTACATGTCTTCGATTTCTGGCACTAACAGAGAGAGGTCGCTTCCCGAGTGGGCCAGACCAGTGGCCAGGGAGAGCATAGCACCCCTGCAGCAATCATTGATAACAGGGTTCTCTCGCGTTGCTACCGGGAGCCGATAGCGACTCAGCAGTTTCCTCAGCAGCCGGTGCACAGACATATAGGCAGGGATCTCCTCTGCGGGGATCTGGAGGAAAGCAGCCCCGTCCGGCCCCAGCTTTGCCAGCCAGCCCTTTTCCACATTCCCTCTCTTCCGGCCCATTATGACCTGGAACTCAGCCAGAGTGGAGCGGAAGTGATAGGTCCTGATCCCTGCTTTAGGAGTACGGAAGGGCCCCGGATTGAGGCTCTGGCTTGTGATGCTGATGCCAAAGGGGTTGAGGAGGAGGTTTCCTGGGAACCGAGCCAGAGGGGACACTCCAGGGTTCTTGAAGGCCCACCACCAGGCTTGGGCTCCAACGAACAGTCCCCCGCCCTCTGCTACGAACTCCTGCAGCTCTTTGACCCCCACATCGCTCACGGGTTCAAAGCAATAGACACTCGCGTCGCTGGTCAGATGGGGCTCGATGCTGGTGTCTATGCCCCCCACTGCGAGCAGGCCGCTCAGTGTCCTCAGTTCTGTCTGCACCACGATCTTGCCTCTGCGGCCCCCGTCCAGCCAGCGCACAGCATTGAGCAGAAAGGGGCCCAGTTTGCCAACGGTGAATAATACCTTGTGGCCGGTCACGACCACCCGGCCCCGGCCGTAGCGGGCAGCCGCTATGACACAGCCATGGTAGGAGTCTAACCCCAGGGGAAAGGCCAGAGCCCCGTGCACCAGCAGCTGGGATGGGAAGCAGTCTGAGTTGCTGATGTCCAGCTCTGAAATCCCGTGCAGGAGCTCATCTCTGTCCTCGGAGAGGTCATCCTCACAGCTGCAAAGACACACAAGTGTTCTCCGTTCAAGGAGCAGCCACAGAAAGCCCCGGGGACAGCACCCAGCATACAGCAGGCAGCAGCTTTCCTAATATGACCATTTTTGTCTCTCACAGGGCAGCTGGGAGAACAAGGTGGGCATATCTGACCTCCCTGGGTATGGAGGCTGGTCAGAGGGAAGACAGGGGGACGTTGATTCTGGTCTACTCATTCTTGGAAGACACACTCTCCAAAGCAGGGGCGCCTGGGTGGCTCTGTTGGTTAAGGGCCTTACTCTTGATTTCAGCTCCGGTCGTGATCTCCTGGTTGATGGGATCAAGCCCCACGTTGGGCTCTGCACTAAGAGCTCAGAGCTTGCTTGGGATTCTCTCTCTGACCTCTCTCTCTGTACTCCCCCCCCCCCCCACTTGCAAGTGTGTGCTGTCTGTCTCTCTTTCTCTCTCTCTCTCTCTCTCTCAAAATAAATAAATAAACAGGGGCTCCTGGGTGGCTCAGTCAGTTAAGCGTCCAACTTCAGCTCAGGTCACGATCTCGCAGTCAGTGAGTTCGAGTCCCGCATCAGGCTCTGTGCTGCCAGCTCAGAGCCTGGGGCTTGCTTCAGGTTCTGTGTCTCCCTCTCTCTCTGCTCCTCCCCCACTCATGCTCTGTCTCTTTCTGTCTCTCAAAGATGAATAAATGCAACACAAATTTATTTAAAAAAAAACAACCCAAATTCTCCAAAGGAAATCTCAAAGGAAGGCTTGCTGTGTCTACCTAATATTATATCTTAAATATTCCAGATTTAAGTGTTTATTTCAGCCTTTTGCACATTATATAAATAACTGAATGGTGAATCATGTTTTCATTCTCATAAAGAACCTTATTTATAAGTTCTGTGCAGCCAATTTTCTGCAAATAAAGTCAATGGAGAGCTGAGTTGGTGGCACCAGTATTATCTCAAAAGGTGGGGCAGGGGAGCTGAGTGGCTTCAACTCTAGTGAGACCCTCCTGGTAACTTGAACCTAAAAGGATTGACTGCTGACACCCAGCACTCCACCCACTCATTGCCGGCTCGCTGGAGTGACATCCACACTATAAGGTCTTTCTCAGCACCATCCGTACCCGTCTCTGGGTAACGGACCCCTATCGCCTCAGGACACCTGTAACCCCAAAACAGGAGATGCAGCCCTGGCCACCTAGTGGGATCCTCAGGGGGTAAGAGGTGGAGTGACCTCCGTAAGTTCGAGATCCCAGAACTGGCTGTGCCACTTTTGTAAAGATGTGGTAACTGCAGAAGGCAGCTGCCAAGATACAATGGAAAACAGGAGCCAGGCGGACAGCAGAGCTGAGTCGTGTCCTCTGGAGGGGAGAACTCCAGTTACCCGACGGGGAGACTGCGGTGCTCTCAGTGGGTACTAGCCTTTCCTGGAGACAAGGTTTCACCCTAGTGACTCTCCAGCTCCTTCAGGTAGTAACCTCCGAAGTTATTCAGCTCGCTGTTCCTGCTCTGATTCTCAGTTTACCCAACCACCTCGTGATCATAATCTTGCTTCTGATTCTGACGATCACCTGCCCAACGGGCCAGGCCACGCAGAATGTTCTAGTTTTGTGACATGTCTATTTCTCAGGCAATATCTTGGACAGTCTGTCTTTAATTTGGTGATTCTAAAATTAAAAATATGAATTAAAAAAATTGTATGACTTTATACCTGCATATAAAATGAAATGTAAAATGTGTTTAAATTCTTATAAGAAGCAGTTCTGTCTATAAATTTCACGCAGTTGTTTTATAGGTGAAATCAGCGAAGAGGTAGATCACTGTGCTTTATTTATTGTTTTATTTTTTTAAGTTTATTTATTTATTTTGACAAAGACAAAAACTAGACAAGTAGGGGAGGGGCAGAGAGAGAGGGAGACAGAGAATCCCAAGCAGGCTCCATTGCCAGCACAGAGCCCGACGCGGGACTTGAACCCAAGAAACTGTGAGATCGTGACCTGAGCCAAACCCAAGAGTCAGACGCTTAACTGACTGAGCCACCCAGGCACCCCTGTGTTTTAGATAAATACACTGGCATCAAGGTTTATACACTATTATGACAAGGGGGGTGATACTGAATGTGCAAACTTGAGGTCCAGACACTGAGTCGCTAGAACCTCATCTAGACGATGACCCTAGGTGAGGTCCTGCTCATGCTAAGCTGGGGGGCACCCTCAGAGTGTCTTTTATGTCTAATAGCCATGACTTCTATGCAGGGGGAGAAAAATTTTTCTTTCATAAACTGAAAAAAATCTGAACTGGATTTTTACTTCTCTTTCCCATTCTCTTCTGAAATGAAACATTAAGTTTTAAAATCAGAATAAATCCATGATAGCACTGGGTTTGGAGAAGGGCACAATCAATAAACTGGGCCAGTGAGAAATTTATAGAAAATGGAAATCAAATGGAATCAGACTGATCAGAAACCCTTTAAAACAGAAGAATCTGTAACTGCATCTATGTGAAAGAAAAAGACCAAGAAAACAGGAAGAGTAGGGATTATCATTTGTCCTGAGAAAATACACCTCAGTAACCAGTAATGACCAATCTAGAATTTCAATGCCACTTAACATTTAAATAAACAAGAATCACTGAATATGTGATGAAAAGTAACACCGTGAAAGAGAAGCACGAAACTAACCAGAGAAAACCAACACTCTAGTAACAGTGATAAATGAAGAAGAAAGTCCTACATAAATATTGTAGATTATTGGAGTTTTGAGATGACATACTTTGTCTCCAAAAAAAAAAAAAAAAACAAAAACAAAAAACAAAACAAAAAAAAAAACCGAAAAAAAAAACAAGAACAGGCTGCTATAATAAGTTACTCATTAGAATAAAAGTATAATTGCCAGGGAATCTCAATTTTAATACATGGCAGAAAGTAAATCTTGATGGGGATGAACACTATGAATAAGTCAACAGGGAAACTGAGTCAAGTGATCGTTCCAGAGGGCAGTGCTGAAAGGCACGAAGCTAAACAGCAGAAAAAAGAGAATGAAGGACAAAGGAGAAGATCTAGCAAGCGGGAGTTAAGAAAGCAAAGAAAGAGAAAAAAAGGAGCAAGAAACCTACAATTACATGCAATTTCCTTGCACTGAAAAACTGATTTCAGTTCTCAGAAAGACAGGACTACCCGAATGCAAAGCAGGGTAAATGAGAAGTGCAGGATCTAGCTGGTTACTGACAAGCTAATGAACTTCAAACATGAAGAAAAAGCCTTGAAGGCCGCCAGAAAGAAAACAAAGCCAAAGAGACCAAATTACCTACAAAGAAGTGAAACAAATTCCCTAAAAACAGTATTTGAGGGCAGCGAAGGCACTCTGTATGGCACACACAGCCGCCTAAAACTCTTCGTTGGCACGTGGAAATACTGATACCACATCAAGGGTTTAGAAAATGTACCACTCATGAAAGTTTTCCCCCAAATGTACCTAAGGTTACCCTGTAGGTCTAGAAAAAGAAAAACAAGTACAACAGACAAACAGATTGGCTTCACGAAACAGTGGCGGGCACGAATACCAGTGTAATTTATAAGTAATGCTGAGAAAGGTCTTCTGATACTTGCTGCAGTTGCTAAGAAAGAATCCCGAATTAGCAGGACCATGACGTTAAACTAAACTGAGGCAAAACCAAACTGGAACCAAGGTGCCGCTGTTTTGGGAGGTAGAGAGTGAGCATGCAAAAGTGCGAGAAAGAGACAAATGGCGTTCTTAATTTGGAGATGTAGATTATAAAAACTAGTTAATTCGCAACTCAGATCTAAAAATATAAAGCTTACTAAATAAGGGCAACACAGTAAATATGGCTATTAGTGTATAATAAAGGTGGCATCTTGTATTACTGGGAAAAGATACTTTCATAAATATAATTTCAAATAACCTATATTATAAATTATATTATAATAACTTATTATAGTAAATATTTATGTAATAATATATAATGCATAATATTATATAATATATAGTTATATAATAAAATGTAAATAATAAATATATTATCATATTATAAACTATAAATATAATTTCATAAATGTTGGGATGACTGGATAGGCATTTGGGAAAAGATAAAATGGATACCCTCTGTCACACAACACACAAGACAAGATTCCAAATGCATCCGAGCGGTAAATTTTAAAAGGGAAACCACCCAAGTACTGGAAGAAACCAAGAGTGAAATCTCCTAATCTAGGTGTGAGGAAAGGCTTCCTAACTATGACCCAAAATCAAATGTGCTAAGAGAAAAGATTGATAAAATTAGCTACATATGCATTTTTGAATGGCAGAAATACTAAGTACATTCAAAAAACCAACATGCTGTAATCACAGGTAAAAGATGAGTATTTCTAGTCTGTAAAGAACTCTTAAAATGAGAACACGAAAAACATATCTGAAAATGGGCAAAACATGTAAAAGGACAGTTTGCAACCAAAAAAACCCTAAATGACTCTTAACACACACTGATTTACTTCTAGAAAAAAGAATGAAGGGGCACCTGGGTGGCTCAGTCAGTTAAGTGTCCGACTCTTAGATTTGGCTCAAATCATGACCTCATGGTCCCTGGGTTCAAGCCCCTCTTCGGGCTCTGTGCTGACAGTGCAGAGCCTACTTGGGATTCTCTCTCTCTTTCCATCTCTCTGCCCCTCCCCTGCTCATGCTCTCTCTCCCTCTCTCTAAAAATAAATAAAGTTAAAACAGAAAAAAGAATACAAGTTACAACTATATTGGAATACCATTTCCCAGCTATCAGGCTAACAAAGCTTCAGAAGTCTGATAACTATTCTGTTAGAATTGTGTGGGGGAAACAGGCATCGTCTCTCCACTGCTGGTGGGAATGCTAAGTGGTACAACCCAACATGGAGATGAACTTGGCAATTTCTAACAATAGTATACATACATTTATCCTTGGACCTAGCAATTTTATCTCTAGAAAGTTAGCCAAAAGGCACAATTTCAATAAAATGAAAACACTTAAAACAAAGTT